TCCAGGGAACTATCTCATATTTAGTGATTATGAAATGCCAATTAAATAAAAATTTCTCTCTAGAACATAAGGATTATTTTAATTCCCTATCGCCACTCAACTGTTTCTTTCAAATAATATTAATTTTAATCAACACAGAATTTGTCTAATTCTGTAATGTTAGAGACTGAAGAACAATAATATCTCAGCAAATATCAAATAAAGCAAAGCAAATTCTTACATAAAACTACAATGTTGAGAAGCTGGATGGATTAAAATAGATGTTTTAACCTCTTCAAACATCACTTTTAATCGTGGTTTAATTTCAGAAAATATTTTAGTTAGTACATTTAAATAATAAATTAAATATTTGATAAAATAGAGATTAAACTATGTACTGAAAAGTAAATTTCCCATGAAATGTCCTATTTATCTATTAGTTATAGATACAAACTCCTATAAATAGAAAAACTTTGTGAAAATACATAAATCCACGGGTTGTGGTTGTAGATGCATTATTAAATATTATTATCCTATTATATATCTAAAACAACAACAACAACAAGAAAAACTTCAACTTTTTGAACCTCTTAACAAATGTTTCTGCTACTATGAATATCAAAGTCAAGACAATTTTCAATCAACCCTTCACCACCTATGTGATCAGCAAATTTTCTCTTCCTAAACCCCATAAGACAGAGTTACTGCTAGAGGGTAATGGAAGATGAGATGTTTTTCCTGAGCACTTGGCAGCTATAAGAATGATGTGGAGGAGATTCCTACACTCCTCATTAAATGTTTGCACATGTAATTAGGTTTTTCCAGTTAATGTAAAGAAAAATCTTTCATTACTTAGATAAATTTAACACTTTCTTTTTTCTCCTTTACCATAATATGGCTGCTTAGAATTTGAATAATGTGCACATTGTCACTGTTATTAACCCTTAAGTATATTCATATTTCCTGGAAGCATAGAATCTATAAAACTGGGATTAATGAATCGTGTATACAAATGAATAGGTCCCATCTTTTCCATCAAAAGCTCAATTTTTTTATCTATGAAAATTGAGGAATGGAGTAGTTGAAACCAAAACTAGCACAGAGGAAATAGGAAATTTTCTTGGATTTGTTTAGAGAAATACAATGTGAGAAAATACATACAAAGTATAGCATAGGACAGCAATTTTTTTAGGTTATGAATTGCTAAAGGATGGATAAGACATACAGAAAAAAAAGAATAGTAATTTTACACCTGTGTTGTCAGATGCACGTAATGGAACATTTTGGAATCCCTTAAAAATGCAGCAATTTAAGGAATTGAACATTAAGACATGCATGAGAAATAATATTTTGACAATTTCTCATGATTCTCAAAAATGATAAATCTCACACTATTTTATATTAGATTAAGAAATGACAGATTCATTGGCCTTTCAATTTCCACAAAACAGAAAATACTTTCATTTGCTTTTTGGAATCACTTGATGGTTTACTTGGAGAGTTCCATTTCCCTGTACTAACAAAGGAACTTCCACACTTTGTCAAGTATTTAAGTGTTATGAGTTGATATGGAAATAGGCTATATCATGAGAACAATATATAATACTTTGAAATATGAAATTAAAGACTTGTATTTTAACTTAGGGAGGTTTTTTATATGAATGAAAATGTTCTACATTCATTTTATGAAAGCACATTTCAAAGGTAAAATATAACAGAAATTATAAAAAATGGTCTTAAGACAAGTTTATGCAATTTAATAATGTAGTACTTGTTTTGTTAAGAGAAATCTAGTTGTAAAAACACATAAAAAGTGGTAATACAGGGCAGCAAGTTTTTAAGTCATAAATTCTTTAGAGACTGATAAAATAAAGCAGGAAAAAAATTATAAAATAACTTTGATGAAATAATTTAGTAATAAAAACTTGGGTTTCTAAAAAGTAAATGTATATATTTATGTGTGTGTTTATATAATAAAGCCTTTTAAATTTTCTTCTTCTATCACTGTATAAAAACAACAGAATTATTTTTTTTCATTTTAAATGAAAATTATTTATTATACAAAAATGTTCAAATCTAGAAGATAGAAACTGATTATACTCCACTTACCAGAATCTTCTAACAATATACATTGGGATATTTAAAAAGTCATACAATAGGCAAATTTAATTGAAAGAGTAGAGAGATAAAACATGGTTCATTATAGTTTTTAATCCGAAACTTAAGTGTTAAGGAGTTTTATATACTTCATTACTTTTTAAAATGCAACAGCCTCTAATGTAGAGTTATTGATCACAAATGCTTAGAAAATAGACCTCTGTAGGTATTCTACTGCTTTGAGCTTCCGACCAGTCTCTTTCCTGCTATAAAGTGCTAAGAAGTTCATGTAACATATTAGCACAGTGCACAGCCCTAACACCAGTCTAAAAAATTTCATGTCGGAAACATACAACTCTCCTGTTTTATGCTTCTATCTTGGAGAATAAAAAAGAGAGGAATAAATCTAAGTTCTTGAAGTCAGAATTTCTATAGAGTAAACAATATAAATTTAGAATCCATTTAAATTAAGAGAAAAAACTGCCAACTTCTTAGTAGAAATGTTTAAAGATATATTTAAGAAGATAACTCAAAGACTGTAGGTAATCAAAACTGTGTGGTAAACTGGATTCAGAAAATCACACTATTTTAAATATCTTCATAATTTTCTAGAATAGTTTTTGATGAATTGGGGAAGCAACAAAGCCTGCTATAAAACTTTGGTTTTGCCAAGCTAACTTATATATAGTCAAATCATGTTCCTAGTACTATAACCAGATGGAAAAAATTTATCTTTTTATTTTAATCTTAAAAGAAGGTATTTTGTTTTATCTACAAGTAATGTGAACTCCAAATGCCTTGGTCAGCATAGCAGCCTCTTACTTTCTTTATCCAGAGAGTCCTCTACCTTTTACTGATACCATCTGGTCCTTAATGCTAAGTCTGAACATCAAACCATACCCACTCACTTCTACCCTGAAGGTGGTGAATGGTTATGAATTGTTAAATAAAAAAGAAAATATATGTTAGCCAAACTTGTCACTTTTCTAATAGAGTTTTACTTAATTAAATACATAAGATTAATATTCTGCAAGTAACTAATTCATAATGATACTTCTTGAGTAAACATTTATGTGTATGTGCATGATATGATTTTAGTTCTTATCTAACTTACCAACCTCATAACTATTGGGTTTCCGACCACCTAATAGTTAAAGTATTTATTAATCACCTTGAGAAATGTTCAGGTATATCAGCCAGCCTTTTGAAAATCCCACACCACTATAGCTATTCCAATGTATTGCCAAGAGCATCCAGGTGTACACTAATCTTACAACTTATCTGGTATTTAGTTAATCATTGTGGTAATGCTCTTTTTTCTAACCTTTATGGACTCTAATTCTGAATAGAGTGTCCATGGAATCAAAAAGTAAAATTCTTAATGTTTCTCTTCATTTTTTAGATTTTCAAAAGTTTTACATAAGAAGAATTTAAGGGCTCCCCCAACGCCTACACAGAAAAATTGGCACTTGCCTTGTAATAAATACTCTATTGACTTTCTCTTTTCAAGTATGCCTTATTATCATCTTCTTAGACACCAGCTAAGCTATTTTTCAAATTCTTGTTTTTATATCACATTTCATATTTTAGTTAACTTTTAGCTCTGAATCTTGTTCTATCTTTACTTAACTAGAGTTTGTTGATTTTTGTATGTAATATGTTTTACTTTTTAATCCTTTGTTTTATTTGCACATTCTTCCACGGTAATTTTTTGCTTTACATTTGACCAAGGCAAACATATTCCTGACAAGTTAAAGACTTGATATACTGGTCCACACAGAACTTATAACAATTTAAGCATGAAATAGAAAAAGATGCAAAGAATCGTGTGTGAGTTGTTCAAAATTGAATACAGGCATTTCAAAACAAATATTCTAATAATTAGTAAGTATTTCATACTTAGGGTCAATGCATTAATCATGATGTACTCCTATATGTTTATTGTGGTATTCAGAAGTATTTCTATAGCTCTGGTGCAATTCAATAGCAACCAATTTCATTTCCAATAGTTTTTTTTAAATTTGACTATTTGTCTATATTATTAAATTCTAGTATTTTAATTAATATTAACTTTTTTCATACTTACTTCCATAGCTAACATTCAGAATGAAAGTAGAAGTATAGACTCCCTAAATGATTTCTTTTAAATTAACAATCAGATGAAATGTATGTAGGTAAAGCATTGTATATACAAAAGCTTAAAAGTTTTTGCTTTCAAACCTGTATTAAAATCACCACATTGAATTGTATTTTTCATACTACAGAAGTTATACAATTTTTTAAAAATGTGATGGATTTTTGTTCTTTATAAAATAAAATTAATTAAACCAACTTAAAATTTCAGGTTGTCTTAGTAATCCACAGCTTTCTGTACATCATATTTATCCATGTGCAAAAATATTCTTTCCTACTTTTTCTAATAAAAATAAGGATCTTTGAACATATTTTCATATTTTTAATCCACCACATTCCTGTGCAACATTTAGAAAAAAAAGTCCAAGATATTGTTTTTCTCAGTTTCCATAACTTTGCAGAACTCCACTTATAGAGCATCTGTTCTGAATTTTAACAAGTTATTGCACTGCCAGATGCCCAGTTATTTGGGCTGTATTCTCAAAAACACATTGCTCCAGCATAAGACCTACAGTCCGTACCTGAGAAAAACATCCCTTTTTTTTCTGACCATTTGGCTTGTTTTGTAGAAACACTCTTACCCCATCCTGGTATATATTACCTTAAAATTTGTTTGTATGAATCGTTTACTCCTATTTTGGGTGACATTAGGAGATATGCAAAAGGGTTATATTTACTCTCGCTTCAACTTTTCAACATAAAATCCAAGCAGAGAAAAAATAGCATGTTGTAAAAAAGGAAAAAGGGGAAAAGAAAAGCTTCATCTAACAGTTTTTTTTTTTTTTTTTTTTTTTACATTCTGGCAACATGGCAAGAAAGGATGGTTTTGCAGAAGCCAGTGTGTCAAAAATCCTAAGTGGCTGGGAGATGAAGTGCACAATCACAGAAAGCAGTCACTGGTAAAGGAATGTCAGCCACTTACCAATGAGATGCCAGACTCCCCTGTCCTTCCTCTGTGACTCTCAGTTCCTGTCTCCCATCCTCCTGCCCGTCGGCACAGTTCAGACAGAGCAGTTCCTTGGGTCCTTCTCAGCCTGTGGCAGAAGAGAATTGCGGAGTTTTTAATCATTCAGAGGGAATCCTCCAGCTTGCTCTGCCTCTCCCAGAAGACCGGACCCAGGTAACGCATCCTTTCCGCCCAGAGCTTTAATGGCACTTTGGCTGCTGCCTTCTTGCAGTTACGCTCCCCCACTCTGTAGTTGGTTATATTGGGAAGTAGGTGCGGCGCCTCCTCCGGCTGGTGTGTTTGGGGCTCGAGTGTTTTCCTCCAATGCGTCCGCGCGCCCCGCGCCCCGCGCCTCTGACTGGCTGTGTCCTCCCGGAGCGGTCCCTCGCCCCTCCCCACTCGCCCGCGCTGTCGCTGTCGCCGGTGCCCAGCGCCTCACTGCCTCCCGCTGAAAAGGTTCATTTAGCATGTCCCCGGGTTTAAAAGACTGTTTGCCTCAAGAAGGTTTTTAAATGCTGCTGAGCTCCTCTCACTAGTCTACCGGTATTCCCCTTGCCTCCTAAGTATGGAGGGCTTGCCCCCCTTCCCCAGGCTTTTCTGCTCTGCAACCTCTCGGTATTTAACATTCATAGATTACAAAGCAAACGTGTTGGCTGAAGACTGCACGGGGAGATCACAGAGGCAGAGTCCCTTCCTCTCCTGCCTGCTCCTCGCTCTCTCCCCTCAGATTCCAAGTCTTTGGCTTTTACCTCTGACAGCAGCCACACAGACTCACGCGTTCACTTAGGTCGGCTTGCAGAGCGGACTTTCTCACTTTGGAGAATTTTCTTAGGTCCTGACTGGGAAGCACTTCTCTTTTGTTTATACCCTTGCTAGTTTCATCTGAGGGCTATTAGGTTTGGAACTGTTTTTATTTCTCCTTGATTTTGTTGTTGCTTCGTGTCAGTTCTAAAAACGCTAAGGAAATACCCGGCTTAGTCTCAGACAGCAGCTCTTTTTTTCTGAATTTTTATATCACAATGGCTGTAATTGGAAAAATAGCACAGGTAGTAAATCCACAGTGTGGCAGCTTTAGTGCCATTGTTCTGCCAGTTTCCCTTCTACTTTTTCTCTTGGAGTCTTTGAGTCATTCTCCAATTCCCTCAATTCGTCTGATTGGTAATTGAGTGTTTGTTAAATTACATACCTCTCTTTGCAATGTATTTCTATAGAGAATGTGGTTTGCACCTGTATTTAGTGGAAAGGAAAGCCTACGTACTGTGTTCTATTCCTGTGTGTCTGTACATAAACCCGTGAGGGAGTCTCAGGTCGCACCTGTGTCGGTTGGTGTCCGTTTTTCAAGTGTGTGTGAGTCCAGCCTGACCCTGCACTGAGACTGCTTCCTCTGCTCACTTAATTCCCCAATGGGGTCTGACTGGCTCTAATTGGCAAGGAGAGTACAGTGCCATGCAGCCTGTAGCTGTAAGCCGTCTACCACCAGCTCTCAGTTCTTTCTCTAGCAGCTTTTCTGGGTAATTAAAATTAGTCTTTTTCCTGTTTCTTGGTTTTTTCTCATTCATCCACGGATGTTGTGCAAACACCCCGTCTGCTCTTAATGGCCACCCTCAGGATCTAGGTTGATTTCTGGTTCTGTAGCAAAGACAAATTTGTGTGCTCCCATTTAATGCTTCTCTACCCTTCCATACTTTTTATTTTCTTGTTCCCACTTTCCAGTAATTAGGTTATTTTCTTTATGTGTTAGCTGAAGGATTGCTGTGGCGATTCGACTTCTCTGGGCTTTTCCTCTGCTTCAGTGGCTTCAATCCTGTATCAGGCTGTTGGTTAACAGAGAGAATCACCAGGATTTTTACAACCTCTTTAAATATATTGCAAAGTAGATTCAAAGTCTAAGAGCTTTAAAACATATTTTTTTTTTTATTGTGGGAAGCACTTCTCTTTTTGTCTTTAAATGTTTATTATAACTGAACACATTGAGACTTAAGGCAAGGTAGAAACAGTGAGCTTGCTGATTGATAGTTGTCCTCCTAGAATACCTTGCCATTACACATGATTTGATAGCGTTAGCTCTTTGAATCCTTATATTATCCATTTCACATATTTTCTTTCAACCAGTCTTAACCCAAAAGAATGTAAGTTGACTTATAGAAATATATTCATTTAAAAATGGATAAAAATGTGCATCAATAAAATCAAGACATGAGATAAAGTGATAATACCAGAGATGCGATGAAGACAGAAACAGAGTTTGTACAGAAATCTTTCTTGACTTTTGTTAGTTATAGCCTTAAGTTTACCAGGGAGATTGCTAGTAGCCAATGTAGAAACAGAAACACCATCAGTCACATGACTCCTGGTATCTTCCCACAATCAGCAATGGATAAGAAAGTTCACCTACCACAAGAGGCAGATAGATTACATCTTTCTTTTGATCAAAGAATCTGAAGAATTATGATGTTTTGAATTTTTATAAAGGGGACAAAAACATCACAAGAACAGGACATGAATGTATTTTTGACAGATGTAGGCAATGTAATGACATTTTTCCTTTTGAGGTTTTTCTAATACTTTAGAGGGAAAGAAAGGAGATGTTGAATGTGATTAATCAGAGATGGTGGGGTCTATTTTTGTTAGTAAAAATTGAGAATGTGGACTTCAAGTCATTCTTTGGGGTTGACCAGGTAACATGGCTACATTTTTTTTCAGAAACCAGAAAGAGTAGCTATAGTTATTCTTATTTTTTTATAACTTATAATGTTTCATTTTGCTGGATTATACAATTATATGTTCCATATTAATTTCTACATATGTAATACAAATATTATTAATCTGACTTCATTTTTCAGAAAAAAAATTAAAAAAATTGCTATCATGGAGTTTATTTTGTGCTGTATATTTTTAAATTTTTGTGTGGAAAGTGAGGGCAGTAGTGATCATGTTCATGTCTATGTCCTCTTTACATGGTTCAAGCATAAGCAGGCCAATATATGAAATTCAAGAAACTGGTTTTTTTTTAAGTATGAAAAATATCTTTGTAGAAATTCTTCCAAGAGAAACAAACTAACTTGTTTTCCAAGCACATACCAAATATTTTCACACATGCTGTAACTAAAATTTTCCGCTAATGTCATGTAAATATGGGATTTTTATGCTATCTTCTATTTTTCTTTAATAGATGTGGAACTTTTATGCCATTATATAATCCCAATGTTTGTCACTTAATAAAATATTATTCAAATATCACTTAGTTCTCTTTATTTGACAATGTCAGTGACATTTTGGGATTCACCAACTATTCTCTATACTAATGAAGTAGTCTTTGACCATTGAATGAATTAAAAATATTGTTTGCAAGTGGGTTAAATGACTTTGTAGGTAATTTTTTTCATGCTAGGGTTATAGTACCTCTACCTAGCAGTTATTTGCTTATCTGATCTTGTTGTCTAGCCATCTTTGTGTAAATGTCTTAATCTCTTTATCTGCCAGTCCCCAGTGGGCAAGCAAGCAGATGTAGCACATCTGTAGCAGTTGATTTGCCTCTAAGCTTTTGTTTTGTTTGTGTTACAGACTTTTTCTTTAAATCAAATCCTACTTTCTGTTTCTCTACATTTTACTCATATAAGGTTCTAGTTAGTAGATCATAACTATTACTATTATTATAGTCTTCCAAATTATAGTATAAGTAAAGGGGAACAGCAATATTCAATTAAAATCTAGATCAATTGTCTTTCTTCAATCCTCCTGCTTTACCTTTTTGAACTGCTTTCAGCATTTGCATTTTCTATTTTATTGCTTTAATCCTCTGTGTTATCTTTTAATAAGAGCAGGAACATGAAAGTACTTAAAAGTATAATTAAGAAAATGAAAACCTTTCATTGTCAGTGTACACTATATTCTCTATAAATATAAAAGAAAACATTAGGAGTCAAAAGTAAACTTTCACTGGAACTGGAAAAAAAGTATGAGTATTTAAATTTTTATGTGGGTTTCTTGGAACATTCATCTTACTAATACCAATGCTGTTTTTTTTAAAAGAAAAGTAAACATCTTAATCATGGTTAGAAATTATACCAACTTAATTAATTTAACAGCTGCTTCAACAAACAGTGCTTAAGAACGGAGCTCATTTTGTGGATGTATTGATGACATCTGCAACCAAAATCAGTGAAGAGGTATGAAGGAGCAGCTCTTGTTTGACTGTCTTGGTGGTCATATAGGAACATTTGCTTACTGAGGATGCAATGTCTGATCTAAATGTAGATTCATGTTCATCCTCTGCCATATCTTAGTTCAACAAAAATGTTCCTTCCTTGAAAAACAGAAAAATCACTGGCAGTGAAAGTAGATTTCAGAAAATAGTAGTAAAGGTTGAAATTTTACTAACTTAAAAGTACAATTTACTCATTGCATTTCATTCAGTAACTGCCTTGAAATAAGTATTTCTATTTTTTCTTGGCTATAACCTTGGTCTCAGTATGCCTATCAGCTTTAATACATTTGCTTTCCCAGATGCTAAGTCTATTTTGCACAGCTTTATATCACCAAGCTCTTAACATATGAAGTTGTTTCTGTAAAGGAATGAAAGATTTTGGATTTATATTCTCATGACTAGATATTTTTCCAGATTCTCTGCTTAACCACCAAAACTTCTCAATCTGGGGTAAAAATGTAATGGTTTCTTATATTTGGTGTAATTTGTTGTGTCTGATTGTTGAAGTACTATCACATTGTGCTATAGATCAATCATTTTCTACCTCTTCCCTCTCTTGCAAGTCTGCTGGACACATTCACTTGACCTATCTTTGACTTCTGGCCCTAAATTAAAATAAATTTTCTTCAAAAATTAATATCATATACTATACCCATCTCTTTTTATAATCCTTTCTGGTCTCATCTACACGTGAACTCATATTATTTCTAATCTATATTCATAATTAGGTTTTAAAATATTGGTATCTGTTTACTTACAGAGCTTCATGCTTTGTATATACCAAGAAAAAAATCACACCCAAACACTGATGCACTTTATGTTTAGATTTTAATTGATTCAGTAGTGTTCTCATAGGAAGCCTCTTTATTTTTTGTTGTTGGTGCTTTTTTGTTTGTTTGGTTGGTTTTTGGCTAAGACTTCCTATGAGGCTGTATTATAAAGCTGAAGCAGATTCATCTTTTCTTTT